GGAGTGAGCCGATACTTTTATACGGTCAAAGGAAGCCACAGATGCGTTATACTATTCGTAATCGTCAGCTAAGAGTTGTAGTCCTTTCCTGCTATGGCTAAACATCAAAAATTGTTTTTGTTCACACAATACATGCATATTTACCTAAGTAATCATGGGTAACGTACCGCAAACAATAGCTATCGATGGTTGCACTGCGGCAGTTTTTGAGCTTAAACCAGCCTAATGAGTCTATTCCCTAAATTAAGCTGCGCTCAGAACAGCGATGTGTATCTAAAAGTGATGTTACTAGTTATAAGGATTTCCAAAATGACTTTAAAACGGTTAAATTAACCAATTAGGCTGAAAAGTAATAATTAATTTACAGAGGCGAATGTTGATGCACAGCATTTGTTTCATTTTGTGCCATTTATCAGGCCTTTTCAGTGTTGACGGAGGCAAAGAAAGAAGACGAGAGAAAAAGAGCAACCTTGCTCGGTTTCTACGAACGCACAGATGATTGCTTGCAAAGTATGGATGGAAAAGTTCATAACCTTTTAGAACAGAACATCGGGAACCTCAAGGAAAAAATCGCTTCCCACGAACAAAATCTGCTGAAAAAGGAGTACATTGTTCTTGTTGCAGGTTTGTTATAAATAAATAGTTTGACCGACCAACTTCCTCAACCAATAGACTTAAATTCAAGACTGACAAAGAAAAGAAGGCTTCATTCAGCTATTCTACTAATCCAACCTCAGCTAATTAGAAAGCTAGTGATCGAGCCATGAAGTAGAATAAAACTATATTTCTTTTAGGGTATTACACTCAGTATATTTCATCCTCTCTTAATTGACATTTCGTGTAATATACTCCCTTAAGTTATATTTACCCTTAATACCTTAAGATCAGTTTGCATATTCCCCATACTGTTCTCTATACATTTCCTAAGGTACTGACAAGGAGACTTTGTTTAACAATCACGAGCTCCTTTACTTGATGATCATTTCCTTAGTTCCCATGACCTGAATATGTGAGTCAGAGGTGATCTTGTAAGGAGAAATTAGATGCTTGTCACTCTTAGTGGTTAAAGGGTTTATAAAGGGAACTTTATCCCTAATATCTTCTAATCAAACT